CCCGGGGAGAAGGGCGGCCGCCCGGGGCGGGAGCCGCTCGGGAGCGTCAGCGTCTGCCTCCCCTTCCGCTGCCCGCGATGCGGCGACCACAGCAGGTTCCGGAGCCTCTCCTCCCTGCGGGCGCACCTGGAGTACAGCCACAGCTACGAGGAGAGAAGCCTGCTGACCAAGAGCAGCCTCTTCGCGCCCCTGAAGGAGGCGGAGCTGCTCTCCCCGCCGGAGTCCGCCACCCCGGGCAGCCTGGGGAGCCCGGTCCAGCAAAAAGGGTCCTACCTGAATTTTTGCGATGCGTCCTGCGAGAGCGCAAAGCGCGGGCAGCCGCTGGAGGTGGAAGCTGAGCGGCCCGTCTCCTACGTTGCAAACTATGTGTCGGCTGACTCTCCCAGCGAGCAGATTTCTAAACCCGGCCTCCCGGCCGCTGACTCCAAAGCCTCCTTCGAGGCACACGTCAGAGAAAAGTTTAACAGGATGGTGGAGGCCGTGGACAAAACGATTGAGAAGCGGATCGACAAGCTTACCAAAGAGCTGGCCCAGAAGACGGCGGAGCTGCTGGAGGTGCGGGCGGCTTTTGTGCAGCTGTCCCAGAAGAAGCAGGAGGTGCAGCGCCGGGAGCGGGCCCTGAGCAGGCAGGTGGATGTGGCGGGGGGGATGATCGCTGCCTTGAAGCAGCGCCTCACCGAGTCCGAGGAGGAGCTTCACCGGAAAGAGGAGTAAGTGGGGAGGCGAGAGCTGATGGCTTTGCGCGGGCTGGCCAGCACCTGTGCCGGTGAAAGCCTCTGGGGGAGAAGAGAGGGGATGCTTGCTGATTATGAACGGGCCTGGTGCTCACCAGCTTCTGATCACTGTATTTCTAGAGCTGTAGCCCATGTGATCGTGTCCCCTGCAAGGCAGGGGACAGGTCCCCAAGCAGGTGGCTTTCATGCTTGACTCCCCAGTGACTAACTCTTACACACTCTAATGCCTGTGGTGTGTCCCTGGTTTCATGGGGGTAGGGACAAGTAGCAGCTATCATCAGCATGTAATCTGATTTACACTGACACCTCTGATCTGATACCTTTTTAAGAAGAGATGGGTGGATAAGTGCTGGAGGAAGTATGTAAGAACACCGAATAGCACCTTTTCCCTGAAGTCATCCCACCATGGTCAGTAGGCTGCCTGTGGAGTGGGATGGGCTCCCGTGCAGCAGCGAAGCTGTACAGGAGACAGTGCCGAAAAGGCCACATCCAGCTAGGTGTTTTAGGTGGACGCAGAACTGTGAGACTGGAATCGCTTATATGGGAACGGGAAACAGGTGCCAGAGTTGTTCTGACTAACCTAGGCCATCTAAAAATATGTTCATGATGCACCCATTAAAAATGTAGTGATAGCTGATATATTATTTATACGTGAACTACTTAATTTATTCAGCACTTGCTGAAACCTTTCAGGCTATTCGGAGCAACTCAACTTATTTTAGAGAAATGCAGATAAAGAGCCTTGGTAATGAAGTGCTTCTAAACCAATTCATCATCTTACAAAAGGAAGATGAGAAGTGCTAGTTGCCATGACGCTGATCTGAGAACTAAGGAAGGTGGTGTAGGAGTTCAGTGTAGGAAGTCTGGAGAGCTTTCATCGTTCCTTCCTGTAGTCTAAGGACTAGAAAGAAAAGATGATGATGGCTCCTCTATCAGTAGGACAGGTTCTTGAGGCAGTGCTGTAGATTTCCCAGAAGAGGGAACAGCAAAGGTGGTGGGAATTGAGCCTCTGGGGTGTGTATTTTTCCTTGAAGGGATATTCAACAGCACCTCCTGATTTTTGAAATATCAGGTGATCCTCATGGAAGAGAAGACTGAAGGACTCAAGATGAAGCTAAAGATAATAGTGGAACTGAGACAGATTTGAAAGTGTGCTGGAAGGAGGCCATGAAGATAACTTGCAGTTTGAAGCAGTTTTGGTATTCCCATCTAGCCACGCTCCCCTTATGGGCTCTTTCACAGCGTGATTCATCCTACTTGTTCTAGAAAAGTATCTTAGAGGGGGAGGGATTGCCCTGCGGAGGTCCTCCCTCCCTCCCTCTACAGATGAGAGGGGGACCTCAGGTAAGCAGCCGTCTTAGGCTAGATGCTGAACTTCAGATATCTAAAGTTAAGTGGTATGAATCTTACCCCAAACTAAACACAGGATGCGGTTTTAAAATTCAAGGCTTGAAATCCACAGGAAACACGTGACTGTCAGGAGAAAGCAGAAACCATTCAGTGGAGCAAAACCAGAGTTCTGCAGTGCTGCAGAAGAAAAGAGCTCATGGAAAAAGAGGAAGGGGGGAGTAGAGTTATCTGGGTAGAAAGAATGGGTATGATAGGGGGAGGATGGCAAAGGACACTGATCTGTGAAAAGAACAAGGCAGCAAAAGTTGTGATTCCTAACTATATTAGGAAAAGGCATGAGGAAGAGGCCGCTTGCCCCCTTGGCAGACTGCTTGCTAGCAGCAGTGGCAGGCTGTGGTTCTGCAGTCAGAAAAGACTGAACACGGAATGAGAGAAGTGGGGAAACACCGTCCTTCAAACTAGGACATTGCCGGGCTTGGGAAAGGGTCAGGAGCTCAGATGCTTGCTGTTATAATTCTAGCCATCTCTAAAGGAGGAGGGTGAATGCATAAGCAGATGAGGAGGTGGCTCCTAAGTTGGTGTTACAGGGAAGACTGAAGGTTATTTGACTAGCAAGAAACACTAACCAAAAGAGGCAGTTGCACAAGAGACATCACCTGAGTACCCAGGGTATTGCTCTTCTAGGATTACCGCTAGCTTGCTTCAGCTTTAAATAAAGAAGATAAAAAACTTGGAAGCAAAAGCATCAATAGGAATGAGTGAATAGCTATTACACAGTGTCGTGTTAATTTCTAAAGGTAAATGAGCCTAATGCTTGCTAGTGGATAGGATGAAAGCATATCAGCCCAGAGTACTGAGGGGGAAAGAGGGGAGTAGTAGTATGTTCTTGCATGTGCCCGTGCCTAGCCCCATAGTGTTGCCTCTTAGAAGTCACTATGAAGGTATGCTGAGGAGGCTGGGAAGGTAGGCAGGGTATAAGAATAGGTAGAGTTCACCTAGGAAAAACTGAAAATATGTTGTTGGGTGTTTTGTTTTTTTTTTCTTGTTCAAATGGTTCCTGCATTTCCCATCTTGGAGGATAACAAGAGAGAGTGCCATAGAAGAATGCACAGTATGGCTTCCCAATTAAAACACCGTTGTATATTTAGCAAATTGAGAAGGAAGGTAGCTATAAATAATGCTTTGTAAAAGCAGGACTAGTACTTATAGGAACAGCTTTTCAGACCTGAACCTCTAAAAACATCTGGGACATCTAGCTTTGCACCAGTAACCAGGAGGCACTGGATGGTATGCTCTGGTAGAAGGGAGAAGAAAGGGTGTTTGTGACTCTGGTAACAAGTGTCACTTGTCTGGTTTTCTTATGGACTGTTGGTAAATTCTGAGACCTGTCTACACGTTCGTTTCTTTGTGTGTTCAAAAACTTACTTATTTGGTGTGCTGAAATGACTTTCTCCTTCAAAAGAAGGAGGATCTCAACTTTGGCTTTGATTTCTGGAAGAAGTCCAGATGATTAGAAAGCCAAACAAAACTGCTTAATGGAAATTGCAGAAGCAGGAGTTCTCACTGCAGATTGTGGAAAGTCAAAGGCAGCCCTTAGGGACTGCTTTGATACTTGCTGACCTTCAGAAATGAATGCTTTCATCAGTTTCTTGGGATTTTTTTTTTTCCATAAGCAATCTTGTGAATATGGGTAACTTTTCCCAAAACTAGCATTGATATTGAGCCATGGTAGCTGAAAATTTGTTCGTGTTTCTTCTTTGTAGGAGGAAAAAAGAAAATACCTTCTTCCCTGAAACACCTCCTTATCTCATTTCTAAGGGACTAAAGGAAACCAGTCTTCCCTTGGTCTCTGAATGGCTGTCCCTACTACCAGAGATCATGGAATATGGTGCATGTGAAGGCGAGAAAGGGTGTATAATCAATATGCACTTCTAGGTCTCAAAGAGACTGAGGTATGGCTACTCTACATCAGTCTGAGGGTAACAACCAAAAAAACCGACCTCCCCCCACAAATTATCCAAAAGAGGAAAAAAAAATTCTAGTCCAAATCTTAGATAAGGTCACTAAAAGTCGTCTTTGGAGAACTCTTTTTCTAGAGAAGAAGCTGGAAACTTTTATGAGGATCCCTTCAAGTAACTCTTGAAAAATAACAATGTTCTGATAAAGAAGTTAATAGATGTTTATACTGGGCCTATATTTGAGTATTCCTCCATGTCCACCTGCTCTGTCAGTATCTTATATGAATGGACAAATGCTATCAGTGATCAGATTACTCCATAATACTGAATTTAACAATCCAGTATATTTTCATCTTTATAAAATGTGCCTAGTAAGCCAGGGACCTATCTGGGCTGTTAGACTAGACCTGCTCCTACATGTAAGAATGAAAGAATTAACCAGATATGGAAGGTAGAATAGGATGTATTTCCAGGTTTAACAATCACTCCTGATCTATAAATTGGCTGGGGGGGGCGGGGGGGGGGAGTTGGGATTTAAAAAACTTCCTCTTTAGAAGGGTATACAAGATGACATAAAATAACAGTACAATTGCACTTTGGGTAGTGGCTCTGATTTTTGGATCTAATTGTGAAGTCAAATAGGAAAGCTAAGGGAAAGGAAAAATGCGCGTTAGCAAGCATAATTTGATTATGAAGCCCCCAAGAAGGCTTAGGGAGGAGAGATCTAAATTCTTTGTTTAATCATCTGGGTTTCCTGAATAAGGAGATGGAGCTCTTCTAGGCCTCGCATCTTTCCTTTTTGCCCAGCCTAGCAAAGGCAGACATTGCACTGCTGTGACTGTGGCAGTCCTCAGCAGAGGCAGTAGACCTGAGGTCACTTTGACTTGATGGAGTTTTGTTTCTACCTCTCTGTTCTACCTGTAGAAGCCCATATGTCCTGAGCCTTTGCCTGGACCAAGCATGTGAGACAGATATATAAAAACTGTGATCTACCAAGTGGCTGCATCGTCAGAAGCTGTTTTTTCTGATGTGTTCCCCAAAGCAAGCAGCAAGTCTGTAAACTTCATAACTCTATAGGGAGTAAATTCTTCTCAGAGTTATGTTGTTGTTGCTAATCAAAGCACTCATTTCAAATGACAGCACTATGAGGTTTTACTGTTGACCTCTCATTCCGATGAGAGGGAGGAGTGTTGGTTTAGGCCACCAGCAGGCACAGGGCTGCCCATTTGAAGAGTTTGTAGGATCGGTAAGGTTATTTCTTCAGACTTGTCAGTTAATTATTCTTTGTTTGGTTTAAATAAAGCCTATAGCAGTCCAACGGCAATGATAAAGTGAAGATATCTTTTTAGTTAAATTTTATTTCTGTTCCCTTACAAAAATGGCTGTGCTAATACGCACACGGGTACATGCTGTTATACTAGTGCCCTCATGGAGATGAACTGTGTTGAGGGGTAGGACAGCGGGAGGTACCACGCTGACTATACTAATATGTAGTTGAAGTAGTATTACTCTAAGCACAGAGAAGTCTTACAGCAGTCACTTATTCTCCTATTTAGAAAGTCAAAAGGCCAAAGCTTTTTTTTATTATTATTTGGGGAAAAAAAAAAAAAAGAAAACTGGATGTTCTAGAGAAGCAGGAACAGCTACCAAAGACAGGTCCCAGATCAC